GGGGGGGGGGGGGGGGTCGGGCTAGAAGATCTACTAGGTCCCTTCCGACCCTTAATCTATGAATCTATTAAGATTCCTGTTGCTTTTGGAGACCACCCCCATATGGATTCCCAAAAACTATGATATGCTATCTTTTTCACTCAAATTTTGGACCGTGTAACTTGATCTACATCATCATGGATTGTAATAAGGGCTGCTTGGGCCTTATCTTTGGCTTCTTGCAATTGAATTTGCAGGTCTGGGTGTTGCTACATTTGCTTCACCAAAGTAATATTCATTCCTATGTGCAAGGGTTTTACGTACTCATAAAACAAAATCAGCTTTAAGTGCTTAACTAATATATACAGGGACATCATAAGCAAAGTCACAGCTTTTAAGCTTTAATACAAAAGCATGGGTTTACACCATAATCCATAGTATAATTATACCAATCATTAGCAATTATATTCACACACACCCTTTTCCAGCATAAACAATAACTGTTTTATCATCTGGATTGGGGTCCAATTCAAAATGACATCTCTTGGAATGGGTTAAGACCCAAATCCACTAATCCTTTGCTCTGGAGCTTCCACAGCCTTGGTGCTCAGGTGGCTATAGTCATGCCTGGCCCCAGCTCCCCTCCTCAGGGTCTTGAACCCCCACAGGGCTCAGGCAGCCTCAGCCATATCTGGCCTCCAGTTCTCCACTCCCCTTCTCAGGGCTGGGGTCAGTGTACCCCAAAACACTGCATCTTCTCTGGCACCAGGGTCCCCACACTGCCATGGGTCCCCCATGAGGCCTCCTCCAACCCCTAACAGCCTCACCCAAACTACCAGTTGTAAACAGTAAACAAAATACAAGCCCCTTGATTATAACATAAATCTAAGCCATCTGGCTATAACAACATTCAAGCCACTCCAGGGTTTCTCCTTCTCTCACCTGTATCATATTGTTCAGTCACTCAGGCCTCTTCCTTTTCCTCACTCAGGCAGAACTCCTAGCCCCATGACTACTGACAGGGAACTGCCTACCTAGCCTCAGCCTGGGGTTATATAGGAGCCAGGCCCTGCCCCTTCCGGTTAGCTGCCTCCCACTGGTTACCCTGGCAACCCGCAGCTGAGCTCCTTACTTACTGCTCCACAAGTAGCATTTTCCCCTTTTCATAGGAGCAGGGCACCTCGGTGCTCTGCGACACACCTCCCCTCTTTATAGGAGCAGAGCACCGAGGTGCTCTGCGACAATCACGCTTTCCTCAGCTTTCTGAGGGAAGCAAAACTGTTTTTGTGGTGGTGGGTCAGGTCCTATAACCTTTTCTTTTGCTTCTATTGACCCGCAAACCAATTTCTCTTGGGCCCGCACTAAAGTTGTCTGTAATGCCATTTCCCGGGTTAGAGGAGGCCAATCTGGGAATTCTAATTTTTCCCCAGTTTTAATAGCAGCACAACGGTGTCCTGCAGCGACCATTATAACCTCACTTTCCTCATAAGTGTCTTTTCCAAATCTTAATTCTAGATTTGCAAGGTCTATTATGGCATTCAATTTCGTCAGGGCATCTACCCCTAAAATTCCTGTTCCACCTAATGAGGGTAAACCAAATGATAAATAGCCTTTTGGCCCCCTTGGACCCAAAAAATAAGGGTTTACTAAAAAATATTCTACTTGTAAAATTTTTACTTGGTTTCCTTTCAGTTTATCTAAACTTCTATCTTCATTACTAATGAAAGAAAATGCAGTGCCAGAATCAGTAGGAGTCAAATATTCCTTATGTGCCCCCTCCTAGTTATCTATTGTTACTCGAATAACTGGTCATCGCCACTGATCAAATTTAAAAGGCGCTGTACATAAAAGAGTGCGAAGAGGGGTCTCCGGGCCTCCCTACCTAGAACCTTCCATATATGGTCCTGAAGTGGGTTGGCTAAAAGCCTGTCCGTCCCCTTCTCTATCCTTATGAAGGGCCAATTTTCTCAAAAGTTCAGCAGTGGGTAAACCATCTATGTCCCCTTTTTTCTCATGCCTTATCAACTGTCTCCACACTTCTACTCTAACAGAATCAGGCTGTTTTCCAACTCCTCGACTGCGGTTTCCTCAACCTCAGCCATGACTTGCAAAGGCTGCCACTTTACCTTGCTTCTGCTGTGCAGAAAACACTTGATGAGCAATACTATAGGCATCTGCCAGCCTCTGTTTTATCTGCTGGAGAGGGGCATCTGGGGTTAAAATACCTCCTACAGCCATTTTTAACTCAGGATGCAATCCCTGAATGGAGGTCTTTTTAAACTCATTCATATCATAATTAATAATACCCTGGTTGTTAGGGTCAGGAGCTAATCCTGATGCAACAAACAAAATCCTTTTTCAAGCCTCATAAATTTCTGGACACTTTGTTGGGGCTTGTTTTTCACAATGATACTTAGCCAACAAATTTTCCCCAGGATAAAACAACTTTAAAATTGTCTCAAACTGTCTTCTAGCCTGTGCATTAGTTCTGAGTTTAACTTCTATGGGGAGAGCAGAAAAATCCTCTGGGCTCATACATTTCCTTCTAATGATGCTCCAGAAATAGCCAACACAATACCTCATGTGACCTCTAACTGAGATTTGCAGTGCCTCAGTTTCCTTTTTGCAAACTGTATGATCTGACTTCTTGTGGCCTGTGAGTTGAGCTTCAATCTTTACTTGTGTGATTCCTGCTTTCACTTCCTCTGCAGCCTGTTTCCACTGCTTTATTTCCTCCTGCACTTGCCTTCTAGCAGTTTTTTCCTCTCTAAGCTGTTTTTGAATTACCTGGAGCTGAGTTGCCTGGTTAATACTTTTAAGCATTTGTGCCTGAGCTTTCCAAGCCTCTGTTTCGCTAAGATACATTTGACAATGATCTTGCATCTGTGTAACCTGACACAGCCTCTGCCAGCTCTTCTGTTAAAGATTGACAGACCATAAATAAACCACGCAATGCAGCGCATTTCTGTGTTTTCTTATATATCTTAGGTTTTACACTAGTTATAAGAATCTCCCC